ATGAAAATTACAGGCCTCTCTCATCTTTTTAAGTGGGAGAACTTGCACAATTGGTGGCTGACTAAATACTTTTTTGCCCCACTGTATTTCAGATTAGGTTAAGGTGGTGTATGAAAGCCAAGCATAACTCAATTATCCTTCCACCTACTCTGGCTCCCATCTCTTTTTCAGCAGTTGTTCCTGCAGAGAAATTAAGAGATCCACATTTAGATTTCTCGTTTTTCAGTGTCACAAGGCAAATCTGATACAGGCAACAGGATGAAGTGGGAGAGTAGTTGTTATACTGTTAGTGAACATACCGTTGGCTATGAAGAATATGAAACTTCTTATCTTAAAGACAGATTTTTACATAGGAGGATGTTCTATACTTTTCTCATGTCTTTTTATATAGATCCCTTTATATAGTTCTACAATTTATTGCATTGTATTAAATTTACAGTTTAAAAATTTAAATTCCCCCCACTCTGGAATTCTTTTCAGAAGGTGAGCATGATGATCTAAAATAAATATATAAAAGCCTGTGAGTCCAGTCAGTAATTTTAAAGAAGAAAAGCTCTCCCTTATGTTAAGGATCCAAGATCCTAATTCTGATCCAGTGCACTTGTAGATTCAGCTTTAATTGTTAGATTTATATCCTATGTTTTCTCCAGGACTTCAAGACAACTTACATCATCCCCACAACAATAACCCTGTAAAATAGGCTGGGCTTGAGATAGAGCAACTGCCCCAAGCTCACCCAACTTTTCCGTATCTGTGGGTGGACCTGAACCTAGGTCTTTCTAGCCCTAGTTCATCCATTTAACCACTACTGCTCGGTTTGTCTATAGCTGGAAACCCCAACAAGCATTATTTTGCAGATGTAATATGTAAAGAAAAGAACAGAGGCTTTGCTGCATGTATTGCCACAGCACAAATCTTCAAATGGGCTTCATGCTACACCTTATCAGATCTGAGTCTTCCTCCACTTGCCCTGTAGTCCTCTACCTTTCTATTTCAGTCCCCACAGTTCATCTGGGTATCATGGGATCATATTTGATTGGATGGGACATGTAGGAGCAATTGGGTTAATCGCCATAGTAAGCTCTTATTCCAGGTACGAACAGGACATCAACAAATTTACTGCTGGGACTAGCTCCAAGCTCTTCCAAATTCTTTTGGAATCCAACTGAATCCTCTAAAAGTTTTTTGGGTGGGCTGTCCTAATTCTTCTTCAGAGATGAGATATAGCCATTAATGGAATCTTATCTGGATGGTGAGCCATCTACCACAGTGTGGAAACCTGAGGTGCCCCACCCACAGAACATGTTCCTGAGCAGAACAAAATATCAAATTGAGCTTGTAACCTGTGACCAAATGGAATAGGTCCATGATTGTCATGGCTGCTATGAACTCCTGAGTTGCTCCCATAACCCAGCTTTAGTGGATATTGAAAATCCTCCCACCACCATAAGCCTAGATGTCTCCAGTACCAGCATGGGGCCAGTTATTTGAGGGACTGCCTCTCCCCAGTTACATCTGCCCAACCCACTAGATCCATCAGCTAGGGAACTACACTTGGTGGGTCCTAAGTGGCAGGCCACCTCTACAGTGATGCCCGCTTTATGGAACATCCTCCCCCCACCCTGAGGCTGGCTCCATCCCTGTTGATTTTCCGGAAGTCCTTCAAAAATTGGTTGTGCCATCAGGCTTAAACAAACCAGCTTTAGTGGATATTGAAATCCTCCCAGCACCACAAGCCTAGGTGTCTCCAATACCAGTTCTGAGATCAGCTCAATTATTTTTTAAGCATCATGAAGGACAATACACTAATGGAATCCCCAATCTATCTCCAATCTGTGTGGGAGTTCCAGGGTAGTAGCTCTCTGTCGTGTAGAAGACTTCTAACCAGAGAATGTGTATGTACTAGTTTTCATTTATTTGTGAATGAAAACTGGCTTTTCGTAAATATTTATAAGGCTAGATCTTCTTTTTCTAGAATGATTTGAAAATTCCCTGCACATTCCCAAATCCATTAGCATCCTTGTTTTCTCAAAGAGATCCAGTATCAGCAAGTTACATCAAAGATGAGAAACCCACAGCTATTAGCAACCGTAGCCAAGCAGTGATTAGCTATGTTGGGATAACAGAAGGTACTTAGTTATGGCCCATTGGTTTATTTCTTTGAAGTTTATTCTTTTCTTTCCCCAAGCAGCAACAGTGACACTCTGCATGTTCTCTACTTGGTGGGGAGCCTGCTGTATTGGCTTACTTCTATGATATGTTGTTGTTCACTGAACCCTAGGATCATGGTCTTCATCCCAGTTTTGCAGGCTGTAGAGTGGTCAGGTGTGGTCTTATGCAGATACCAAAATCAATGCAAGGATTAAACTAGTTCCAGTTTGGAAGATGGAAACCAGGCAATAATACTCATCTACAAAACAGTTTTATATGGTTGTCAAGAATCTCTAAGTTGTGCACGCTAAAGCGCTCACTCCATCACAGGAAAATACAGATTTGGCAAACAGGAGTCGCAACTGTTGCAAGTAGGAATTGTGGTGTGGATGATAATAACACTGCAGCAATCAGTGAGGTTTTCCTCATTTGCCGCTCACTGTGGCATAAACATGCCCCAGCAATCTCTTTTTTTCTGCTACATCCTCATGATGTGGCTTTCTCTTGCTCTCCAACCCATTTCTGAATCAACCTTAAGCCATCCTTAGCTGTACTGCTATTGAAGCAATGTTTTCTCCCTTATCCTGAGACAGTTTTGTTGTGGATACAGTCTGGTGTACTTCATGGACCAATTGGTTGGTAGCACAGTCAGATTGAATTCCTGATATTCTCTGAGCTTGCTTTTCTTCTTGCAGACATTTTGTTACCAACCTAAGCAACATCATCAAGACACTATAAATTCTCCACCATTGCAACAGTAAAGGGCCCCTGGGGGTGAGGTCATCCCTGTACCTACTGTCCACTTTAGGCTGGTGTTGGCATGTCCCCCACCCCCTCCAGTGAACTTCTGGAACAGCATTAAACCCAAGTCCAGAAAGAGTCCAGTTAACATCTGATAGCCTTAATCTTTTTTAACATACCTGCACAAAACACTTGCACAAAATCAGAGTGAGGGTTTGTTGTTGTTGTTGATGATCTAGTCATCTGTCAAAACTTGCTTTCTTCTCCACCTCCCATTCCACATTTAAAAGAGTGATTGGTGAATGCCTTCCAACTGGCTGGTGACATTTGATGGAAGGGAGTGAAATAAAGCCAGGAAAATGTAGCAATCACTGTCTTTAACATGCCCTGTATACACCATTAATAAGCACCATTTGCCAGCATTGTCTCTGTGGCAGAGTAGAGATAACTCATGGTAACAGCTAATTTTATGTCAATATCATTTGCTGCTAGCTGAAGAATTGGAAGATAATACTGACTTGTTCATAAGAAAGAATGCAGTGTGTTATGCAAGCATAGAAGAACAAGATGAAAGTAAGAAACTAAGCTGCATGGAAATAATCCACCATTCCAGTTAGTGAAGAGTGTTAGATGTTAACATTAGATCCTGCTTTTATTTACTAGCAACGTTTAGAGGGCGAAATGTTTTGACAGCTGCCAGATCATCCAAGCATGTCTGCAATTGCAAAACAGCAGCCTCTGTGTAGCTCTGTTGCCTCTCCTGCTATATATCCAGCAATGATTAATTATCATTTATTTATCTCTATGGTGGAACTTGTATCATCTAAAGTGCAAATAGTTTTTACAATGTCCTTGCAATATAGGCCAGCTCAGTGAGCTAAATCTTGTTGGAATCAGTGGCTAAGGCAGAA